CTTTTCACATATGGCTAAAATAAAACACATATCATTTTAATTGCAAAGAATACAAATGCTGAATACAGAATATTAAGTTGCTTTCACTCTATTATATATCTATTAAATATATATCGCTATATAATTTAATGCAACTTATTGAAAGGCTTTGTTTGATTTGTTGTTGTTGTTTTAACTAAATTACTGTGCGTTCAAGTCTTACGGTTAACATATAGAAAGCGCCACCGTTTAACTAAGGATTCGCTATTGACTACACTATTCCGACGGTTTGCGTATTGTCGGCGGCGGCGGCGCTGGCACCGTTGGCCTTTTGGGAGTGTGAAATGAATTGGGTGATATGGGTGTGGTAGGCATGGCCTGCAGTTCCTTCTCTCCCATCGACGGCTGCCGCTCATGATTATGATTGTGTTCTATGCCGGCCGTGCTATTTATTGTTGTTGCCGTTGAGTTGGTGTTGGTGTTGGTGTTGTTTGTTGTTCCCGTCGATGCCTCCTCCCGCGTGCCATTTGTATCACAATTTTCGTGTCGCAGCTTCTCTATGAATTTCTCCGTAGTGAAGCGTACGTTGCCATTGTCAATTGTTGCTTGTGTGGGCGTTATGGCCTCGTCGTCGCTCTTGCTATCAGATTTGGGGGCACCACTACCTCCACCTCCGCTCGCTACAGACAGCGCCATAGGCCTCTTGGGTAACTGCGGCTTTTGCGGCACATCGGGCTTTAAGCGAAAACTGCCAATGCTATCGATGCTCCTCCGATCCGCTGTGGGCGAGGGCAGATTGTCCAGGCCAAAGAACTGTGTGCGCGTCATTGGAACCGGCTTGGCGGGCGTCACTGGTGGCGGCGGCAATGCCTCCAGCTGTGTGTGCGTCGGCTGGCTGGCTGTAGCAGGCTGCTGGAATGATGGCAGATTGGGCAGCGGAGGCTTTGCAGGCTTCTCTTGCTTCTCCTGCTTCTCTGGCTTGTCATCCTGCTGCGGGAACAGCTCCTTAGCATGCGGCCGGTGATTGGAGCCAACACCATTGCTGGTAGCCTCACTTTTATTTGGAGGTGAGGGCGCATTGGGCTTTTGGCGGCGCAGTGTTCCATAACGTGGACTCTCCATGACTTCTAGGATGACACGAAAGAGAGTTAAATAGCTGCCATAAAATTGCCTAATGCCTAATACATACCACCATCGTGCTTATCCAAATTCTCATTAGAGGAATTCGATTTGCTTTTGCCTTCGACAAAAAGCTTATTGCGCTGCAGCGTCACATAGAACTCGACATCGCCGTCGAAGAAGTAATCCCACTGACTGATCAGCAGCTCCACAATGATGTTGGCGGCCGAGGAGCTGTTCACCTGGCCAATATAGTCGGCTGCTGCGTTGCTGCTCTTGTCAACGCGCGGCCAGAGCATGTTGGGCGACATCACAATGGCCAAGTTCTGGGAGCTCATCTTATTGTGCACGGCCCGCTGTTGCATCAGGGCCAGAAAGCGTGTGAGATAGCGCAGATTGGCATAGTTCTCCTTGGGTAGCTTGCTCAAAATAGCCTTAATCTCCGTCTTGCGCTCCGCTTCGGTGTGCCGCTCAGCAACGCGTATGAAGTCCTTGTACAGCCCGTAGGTGAGCAGCGGCTCGGGCAGTTCGCGCAGATACAGCTTCAGTATGGAGCCGATTACATGTGGATCCTGATACTCCAGCGGCAGGGGTGTCTTAACATGCTGCGCCTCCAGCGCGTGCTTCATGCGCCTCAGCTTGGTGCTGGCACAGCCCACACGCAACAGACCCTCCTCCTCGAGGCCGTGCTCCAGCAGACAGCAGCAGCAGAGCTCCACAATGTAGGAGATGTCACGGTGCGTCGACTGCAAGTGCTCCTTGAGCGAGGTGCCAAATCGCGACTTCTCTGTGCCCTGTATGGTGTCCTGAATGCGCGCCAGCGAAGCATTCACCTGCTGCAGCGCACGTTCATGGTAGTTTCTTTGGTTGAGCACATAGTCCTGAATGCAGTTGACGATCTCGTCCTCTTTGGCAATTAGCTCCAGCATTTGTGCGGCCCATGCATCGCGCTCCTTTTCCAGCTTCACTTCACACTCCTCCTGCTGGGTCTTAATGTGATTCACCTTGGCCATGGGCTCATCCAGTCGTATGGCAGCCTGAAAGTGAAAAATGGGCCGTTCATCAGTTTAGTCAAACATTCCAACGATAAGAAATCTCTCACTTGTCTTTCTTTTGTTTGGACTTGGTGTCATTTTCACACGCTTCTCGACACTGAGCTACCCTACTGTAATCTTTACCCACCTACTACAACTCGTCGCTGCTGCGCGACAAGTGTCCGTGATTGTTGTTGTTGTCATGTTTGCTGCACTCTCCACTGGTGCCCCATTGAGAGTATAGACTATAAATAGACCCTTTGGCCAGCTGTGTCAATCAATGCCTTTGTTGGTCGCGCAAACGGAAACATTTACAAGGTAAATTTGATGCATTTAATGGGCCTGACCGATATTTGCGGCAAATTGACACACCACACATTGCCTCAAGCACTGAGTCACAACTTCGGCATTAGCCAGGCGATTTAATTCTACGGCAATTGATAAGAAAATCGTGAATAGTATTTTCTATGGGTTTGTGCGGAGCGTGTTCCGGTCTATGAATATTCGAAGGGACTGCTGAACTCTTAACTTAGTTATTATATAAGAAAGCCCAGCAATGAATGGAAATCATTTTCATAAAATTAAATTTCTCGTGACTTTAAGCAAGTCTTGTTATATTCTACTAATCCAAGCTATATATTGGAAATATTTATATATCTACATAAAGGGAGGATACCATTGCCAACTACAACTAAATAATTCTAGCAAGTGTTTAGTATTTTTTTTTTTTTTTTTTTTTTTTTTTTTTTTTTTTTTTTTTTTTTTTTTTAGTTTAATTTAGCCTTGTCTCTATGTTAGCTCTTAAAGAGTATTCAATCGGCCCAACAATGCTGCCTTTATAATATTCCTTATCGCGTCGCGCACTTTGCTCCCTCTACGTTTCGTCAATAGGTCGAACGTAGTAAGTTTGCTAAAAATAAGCAAAATCGTGACAAATTAACCGCTCTCCCCCTGTCTCTCTCTCTCTCTCTCTCTCTCTTTCGTTTTCTTTTATTCAATAGTAACTCTATAGACCTCTCACTCTTTCACTATGCTGCTGTCAATCAATCTGCAACTGGGAATGAGCAAACAATGGCATCCACCATTTAATTATAAACTAAGCCCCAAACAACATATTCCAATGCCAGTCGGCGTGTGACTCACAATATATCATATACATGGATATGGACATGCATATAAATATAACCTCTAATGACCTACATTAGAGTTGAAACTGGGTATGCGGGACAGTTACGAACATCCGCAGTTAGCACTTGCAAGGTACACCAAAAATGATGTATGTAACTGTGTCGGACACATATCGCATATATGGCTCAATTAGAGCGTTCCCAATATGAGAAGCTAGAGGTTGCCCGCACTAAGTTTTATTGAGCCGACTCGAATGCTATCGATAAGATTATGGCGTACATATATGCGTATGTAGGGTGTCTAA